GGGCTCTGTCCTTTAGCTCTTCAGCTCAAGGCTAGCGCTCTACCACTTGAGCCACAGCGCCACTTCCGGCTTTTTTCTTTGTGCTTATGTGGTGCTGAGGAATCGAACCCAGGGCCTCAGGCATGCAAGGTAAGCGCTCTACCACTGAGCCACCTTCCTAGCCCCTGCTTTTAATTTTTTGAGACAGGTTCTTCCCATGTATCCCAGACTGGCCTCAAGCTCACAATTTGCCTGGGCTCCTCAATGCTGGGATTCCACGTATGGAACACAATGAACAGTTGGCATTTGCTTCAAAAGGGAGATAACTTTATAGTTTTGGCCATTTGGGGGCATTTTGTTCCCTAATTCTTAATTAAATCCAGAAGGCATAGACTCTCATAAAAATATTTATTACTTTGGTTGGCTTATTGTGTGCATACTATTTCACAGCCAAGATTCTGACTTTATAAACATCAAAAATACACTAAAACTAGGCACCAGTGGCTCATGCCTGTAATCCCAGTTACTGCTCAGGCTGAGATCCCAGTTTGAAGCCAGCTCTAGCAGAAAAGCCCATGAGACTCCTATCTCCAGTTAACCACCAAAAAGTTGGAAGTGGTGGCTCAAGTGGTAGGGTGCAAAAAAGCTAAGGGAGCCAAGCACCAGCAGATCATGCCAGTAATCCTAGCTGAGATCTGAGGATTGCAGTTCAAAGCCATTCTGGACAGGAAAGTCCGGGTGAATTTCTTATCTCTATAACCATCCCCCAAAAACCCAGAAGTGGCATTGTGGCTCAGTGATAGGACGCTAGCCTTGAGCAAAGAGCTCAGGGACAGCACCTAGACTCTGAGTTCAACCCCCAGTTCCAGCACATACACTAACACAAAAGCACTTAAAAGAGCTGGAGGCATGGTTCAGTTATATAGCACTTGCCTAGCAAGAGGTCCTGAGTTCAAGCCACCAACCACACACACATACAAAATGTTTTCTTCTCTACTAATATAGTTCCTTAGTACAGCTGGTTTCATGACTTTAGGATAAATTAAGCTAATAACAGCATCTGCATCACCTCAGAGGTCTAAGGCTCAGTGTCAAAAACTGCTAGCTCAAAGAAGGCCACAGCTTGTAGTAAGGAATCGTACAATTCCTCCTGCCTGTGTGTGCCCGAAGATAACATGTATCTGTAGCCCACTATTTTGTCCGGTGGGAAGAACACGCGTGGCGCCTCGCTCAGCACAGAGTTGGACAGGAACTGCTTCACCAGCTCCTTCCCACTGGTCCGCGTGGAGCCAATCATCAGTTGGAAGTACTTGCCCACCTCAATGCGGTGCATGCTCAGCACACAGTGCTGTCCATCCTGGGCAAAAGTTCTGTTTAATAGGGCGTACAGCATAGCTTCCGTGATATGAAAATGTAACAGTGCAGGAAACAGAGAGGAGTTCTGCATGGAAAGGCCTATTTTTTCTAGAACGTAGAAATCTGCTTTAGGCATCTTTGAAATGACTGAAGATATCTTTATAAAAAGAAAGAAAAAAGAAAAGTAAGCAGAAGTAATGCATTAAGTTTTATGCTTGGGTCCCCCTTTCTGTCCCATTTCTATTTAAAAATACTATAATGAAGTATCTACATATTTTACTACTGCCATTTTTGAAATAATTGAAAGCTCTTTAGGGGCAGACCAGTTCTGGTCCTGCTTCTCTCAAAAGCAAGCTGAACTGTTCAGTCCTCCTAACTAATGGTTCCTTCATCTGTAAAACAGGCATCTAATTTCTAAATATCTATTTTGGCTTTAAGATCAGACAATTTAAAATTTATCTTTGGTAAAATTAGATCAACTACAGTTGGCCACTGGTGGCTCATGCTTGTAATCCTAGCTACTCAGGAGGCTGAGATCTGAGGATTGAGGTTCAAAACTAGCCCAGGCAAGAACATCTATAAGACTTCAATTAACTACAAAAAAAGCTGAAGTGGAGCTGTGGCTCAAGTGGTAGAGTATTATTAGCCTTAAGCTCAAAAGATTAGGAAAACGGGCTGGGAAGGTGGCTCAGTGGTAAGAGTGCTTGCCTTGCATGCATGAGGCCCTGGGTTCGATTCCTCAGCACCATATAAGCAGAAAAAGCCAGAAGTGTGCTGTGGCTCAAGTGGTAGAGCGCTCGCCTTGAGCTGAAGAGCTGAGGGACAGCGCCCAGGCCCAGAGTTCAGGCCCCACAGCTGACAAAAAAAAAAAAAAAGATTAGGACAACAGCCAGGCCCTGAACTCAGGGCCTCATGTGCCCGCTAAGCTTTTTCATTCCAGGCTGGCACTCTACCACTTGAGCTAGAGCACTACTTCTGGTTTTTTGGTGGTTAACTGGAGTCTGCCTAGGCTGACTCTGAACTTCAATCCCCACATCTCATCCTCCTAAGTAGCTAGGATTACAGGTGTGAACCACTGGTGCATGGTATAACATGGGTTTTCTCAACATCTTGCTTTTGATATAAAGGCATTTTTTTCAAATAACAAAAAAAAATCAAAAGTTGACAAAAACATAATACAGTGGGTAAGGAGTAAGTGCCCAATCAGACACAGCCTTCCTATTTCCATTCCTTTTAGAATTAGAAGATTAAACCACAAAGAACTACAGAGAACATACAAGGAGGTACATAAATAACAGGCAAGAATTTGGAAATGCAGCTGTCTTACCTGTTCTAAATAGAATGATGATGGGTATGTTTTATTTGTCAACTTCCAACAGTCACTTTGCTGCCAGTCCAGCACTGCCAGTTTACGATCAAGGTGAGCCCACGCAATTCTTCGGGTACCAAAAACAATAGATACGATACTATTAACTGCCTGAAAGAAAAGGTCTGGCTTTATTATAAGTACAAACATTTTAACAGGTACAAAGCCTAATCTTCAAACTCAGAATGCTTACCTAGTTCATGCAAGTTCATTTACACTTTATGAATGGAGAACTGCTGTTGCCAGGGTCTCTACTAGATAGTAAACAACGAGGAACATAACTGTACATTGTAAGCAATGCCTCCAGGTCATGTGGTCTACCTGCAATCCCAATTACAGGTAAATAAGATGGAAATGGAGGCAGGGGGATCAGAAATTCTAGCCCAGCATGGACAAAAAACTTAATGAGACACCAAAATACAAAAAGGGTGGAGGGTGTGGTTGAGTGGCAGAATGCTTGGTGAGCATGCACCGGATCATGGGATTACTCCCCAGTACTCAAAGAAAGGGGTGGTTGGAGAAGTAGTTTAAGTGAGTCCCACCCTAATATTGAGAAAAAAGGAAAGAAGAAATGTTGCCATATAACAGTTACTGTGCGGAGCAGAAGTTGTGGGGAGGGTCACTGGAGGACTGGCAGGATGAGTGAAATGGTAAATGCGAAGGTACTTTCCAATGAAATTATCTGAGTAAAGAGTGGGAAAAGGAGGAGAAGGGTAGGCACATTTTTGTAAGATTAACTAGCTGGCTTTACCCTGAGAACTGCAAAGAACCACCAAAGCCTGCATGGGGTGAGAGGCATGCACCCTCAGGCCAGGCTCCACATGTATTCTAGCAGATGGGAAGTTCTGAGTTCAAACATCAGTACTACAAAATTAAATAAACAGGCCTTCTAATAGTAACACAGCAGATGACTGGACATAGGATTCATCTCGGGAGATAAAATACACCTCTTTCCCTTACCCTGTGGCTCATTAAGTTATTTAGTGTTTGGTTTTATTTAACTCTTTTTAATTATTTTTTTTTGGGGGGGAGGGAGTGTACTGAGGATCAAATCCAGGACTTTGCATTTGCTAGGCAAGGACTTTGCCACTGAGCTACATCCCAGCCCTCATTAACTTATACTGATAAATATACTTCTAGTATGTTCTGTGAACACAGGGGCAATTAAGCAGGAACAATTTTAATTCTATCTCCATCTCCCTTTCAATGCTAAATAAATCACTGGAGAAGGGTGTGTGTGTGTGTGTTTGTGTGTGTGTGTGTGTGTAAGGGATGTGTGTGTAAGGGGTGTGTGTGTGAGGGGTCTGTGTGTGAGGGGTGTGTGTGTGGTGTGTGTGTGTGTGTGTGTGTACTCATGACCTGTGCCTCCTAGGCAGGTGCTCCACTACTTGAGCCAGGCCCCAAGTCCTAGGTAAGTATCTTAAGGGCAGAATAGGCATGGTGGCACAAGCCTGTGATCCCAGCACTTAAGAGTTCAAGGCTGCCGGGCGCCAGGGGCTCACACCTGTAATCCTAGCTACTGAGAAGGCTGGGATTTGAGGATCACAGTTCAAAGCCAGGCCGGCAGAAAAGTCCAAGAGACTCTTATCTCCAATAAACCACTAGGAAACTGGAAGTGGTAGTGGTGCTGTGGCTCAAGTGGTAGAGCACTAGCCTTGAGCTGAAGAGCTGAGGGACAGCGCCCACGCCCAGAGTTCAGGCCCCACGACCGACAAAAAAAAAAAAAAAAGTTCAAGGCTAGGGCTGGGCAGGTAGCTCAATGGTAGAGTGCTTGCCTTGCATGCATGAGGCCCTGGGTTTGATTCTTCCACACCACATAAGCAGAATAAACCAGAAGTGGCACTGTGGCTCAGGTGTCAAGTGGTAGAGCACTAGTCTTGAGTTGAAGAGCTGAGGGACAGTGCCCAGGCTCAGAGTTCAAGCCCCACAACTGATAAAACACACACATACACACACACCCTCTCTCTTGGCTCTAGTTCAAGCCCTACAATTGACAAAACACATATATAAGCCGGGCGCTGGTGGCTCACGCCTGTAATCCTAGCTACTCAGGAGGCTGAGATCTGAGGATCGCGGTTCAAAGCCAGCCCGGGCAGGAGAGACCTTGAGACTCCTATCTCCAATAAACCACCAGAAATCCGGAAGTGGCGCTGTAGCTCAAGTGGTAGAGCACTCACCTTGAGCTAAAGAGCTGAGGGACAGCGCCCAGGCCCAGAGTTCAAGCCCCACGACCGACAAAAAAAAAAAAAAAAACATACACACACACACACACACACACACACCTCTCTTGGCTCTAGTTCAAGCCCCACAATTGACAAAACACACACACACACACACACTCTTGGCTCTTGTATTTAGCACATTGAACCTCAAGCTTTAGTATGCATGAGCACTCCTAAGCCACCTGCTCAAATGACGTTCCTGGCCTATAGATTTTTTTTTCCTGGCATTACTGGAGTTTGGACTCAACAGTACTGAGGGCCTCATGCTTGCTAGTCAAGAAAGCACCACATGAGCCACACCTCTGTCCAACTGTTTTTCCATTAGGTTATTTTAGGGTCTTGCTTCTTTGCCAGAGGCTGACTTTGGCAATCCTTCAAAGTAATTAGAATTTCAATTGTCTGCTACTACAGTCAGCTTATCTGTTGAGATGGGATCTCAAAGTTAGATGGGATCTAACTTTTTGCCCAGACAGCCTTCAAACTACAAATGGCCACGTTCCAACTACCTTGAATAAAAGTGAGAGCCACTATTAGATTTTTTTTTTAACTGTATTTTTTTTGTCTTTTCTTTTTTGGTACCGGGGATCGAACCCAGGACGTTGCGCTTGCTAAGCAAGCGCTTTGCCCCTGAGCTACATCCCAGCCCTTTTGTGTGGGTTTTTTTTTTAACTGTATTTTTTTTGTCTACTATTAGATTTTTTTAAAAATTATTTTATGGCACATATTTTTCTCCATATAAACTGACTTTGAACTTAGCCTCCCTAAGCTGGACTTGCTGGCTATCCTAGCAACTCTGGATGATGAGAGTTTGAGGCCAGCCTGGGCAAAAAGTGAGACCTTGCGTCAACAAACTGAGCACAGCAATGTGAGCCTGTAATTCCCAGGAAAAGTTCAAGGCCCAGCTGGGCATGGATGCTCAGGCATGTAATCTTTGCTAAGTTGGCTAGTAGAGATCAGGGGACTATGAATCCAGGCCAGTCCAGGCCTTGAATAGAAGTTCATGAGATTCCATCTCATAAATAAAACTCCTCCATGAAAAATGTAGATTAAACATGTTTCTCATCTACTACAGCAGAATTTCTATACTGTCTGTGGATGGACTTTATGACCTTTGCATGTATTCACAGCATTTTGTGTATATGTGATTGACAGATAGGTAGGTAGGTAGATAGATATATAGATAGATAGACAGGCAATACAGAAATTTATATGCATATATATTCTCCAGCACAACCGAAAACTACTGTTTTTTTTTTTTTTGGTTGGTCACGGGGCTTGAACTTAGAGCCTGGGTGCTGTCGTTGAGCTTTTCTTTTTCTTTTTTTCTTTTTTTGTCGGTCAAGGGGCCTGAACTCTGGGCCTGGGCGCTGTCCCTCAGCTCTTCAGCTGTAGACTAGCACTCTACCACTTGAGCCTCAGCCCCACTTCCGGCTTTCTCTGTTTATGTGGTGCTGAGGAATCAATTGAACCCAGGGCCTCATGCATGCAAGGCAAGCACTCTACCACTGAGCCACCTTCCCAGCCCCTAGTTGAGCTTTTCAAGTCTAGCACTCTACCACTTGAGCCACAGCTCCACTTCTGGCTTTCTGGTGGTTAAGTGGAGATAAGAATCTCATGGACCTTCCTGCCCAGGCTGGTTTTGAACTGTGATCCTCAGATCTCAGCCTCCTGAGTAGCTAGGATTACATGTGTAAGCTACCAGCACCTGGCAAAACCACTGTTATTTTAAAAAATGATGCTAGTATTGTTATAGGACATAAGGCATCTTTTCCTGTTCCATTATTGGGGCTTAAACTCAGGGCAATTTTTTTTTCTTTTGCCAGTACTGGAGGCTTGAACTCAGAGTCTGGGCACTGTCCCTTAGGTTTTTTTCCTTACGGCTAGGACTCTACAATTTGAGCCACATTTCTACTTCTGGTTTTCTGGTGATTAATTGGAGGTAAGAGTCTCATGGACTTTCCAGGCCAGGCTTTGAACTGTTATCCTCAGATCTTTTTTTTTTGGGTCCGGTCGTGGGGCCTGAACTCTGGGCCTGGGTGCTGTCCCTCAGCTCTTCAGCTCAAGGCTAGCACTCTACCACATGAGTCACAGTGCCACTTCTGGCTTTTTTTTTTTCTGCTCATGTGGTGCTGAGGAATGGAACCCAGGGCCTCATGCATGCAAGGCAAGCACTCTACCACTGAGCTACCTTCCCAGCCCATATCCTCAGATCTTAGCCTTCTGAATATCTAGGATATTATAGGAGTGAGCAACTGGCACCAAGCAAGAGACCATTTTTATCAAGCAATGCTACACAGACCTAAGTTCCACCAAAGTTCAACTTATATGCCTAGCTCTACCAACAAACCTGCAGAGCCCTGTCTTAGTAATCCACAACCAAATGTCCCAAATAGTGCTTTACAGAGTAAGTTTTTAAAAATCAGGCAGTATAACAGTCATGAAGAGGAATGGTGTATACCTTAAGTCTCTCTGTTTCTACATCTGGTTTGATGAGTTTTCCAAGTTGCCGTTTTTCCTGTAAATTTCTTTTTTCCTTTCTGGTCTCTGGACAAAGAATGGAGTTACAAACTTGAAAAGCAGTTTTATACTGGATCAAGGGCACATTTATCAAACTCTCCAAATTCTGAAATGGCCCAAACTTTTCTCTGTGTGCAATAATATTGATGGACTTTCTTCCACGAAGCAATCTGAAAACTTCAAGTTCCTTAGTAGATGCTGTATTCAGTACATGCAAGATAGAAGCTTGCTGTTCTGCAGAGAAGAGCGTGTCAAGTGTATTTCCCAACTGCTTTGCATTTTCATCACAAGCAGCAACACTGGGAATAACTTGCTCAGGTAGAGTGGATTTTTTCCGATAGCAGAAACTATGTAGGGCCTGAGATAAGGATGACTGAAGTAGGACTGGAAAGCATCTCCACCTCCCTAGAGGGAAAATTTAGCAAAATTTATGTTAGAATAGCCTTTTTTTAAGTGTTAGTTGCAAACTTAACTAATCCTTTGCAAAGGCATATAGACTTGCAGGGAAGTTAATTTAATTTATAGTTCAGTAGAACTGTATTAGATCATAAGAAATCCTCTCTTATGATTTCAGAATGACTGATAGATAGACAGACCATAGATAATTATCTCTCCAGCTTTTATTTATTTTTTGTCAGGCCTGTGGCTTGAACTTGGGGTCTGGGCACTGTCCCTGAGCTTCTTTGTGTTCAAGGCTAGCACTTTACCATTTGAGCGACAGCACCACGTCTGGCTTTTTCTGCTTATGTCGTATTGAGGAATCGAACCCAGGGCTTCATGCATGCTAGACAAGCATTCTACTACTAAGTCACATTCCCAGCCTACAGCTGTTTCTGTTGTTTTGAGCTGGTCCTGAGGCTTGAACTCACAATATGGGTGCTGGCCTTAAGCTTTTTCACTCTACCACTGAAGCTACAGCTCCACTTCTGGATTTGGTGTAATTAATTGGAGATGAGAGTCTCATGGACTTTGCTGCCTGGGGTTGGCTGAGAACCAAAATCCTCTGACTCAGCCTCCCAAATAGCTAGGATTACAGGTATAAGCCACTGGCTCAAGGCTGCTGGATATGATAGATAGATAGATAGATAGATAGACAGACAGACAGACAGACAGATAGATAGAGCTATATATATTTTTTTACTTTATTTCTTTCTGTTGTGGGTCTTGAACTCTGGGCCTGGGTGCTATCCCTCAGTTCTTCAGCTCAAGGCGAGTGCTCTACCACTTGAGCCACAGCTCCATGTCTGCTTTTCTGGTGGCTAATTGGAAATAAGATTCTCATGGACTGGCTTTGAACCATGATTCTCAGCTTTCAGCCTCCTGAGTAGCTAGGATTACAGGTGTGAGGCACCTGCACTCGGCTTGTTTTTTAAATTTGTAATGTTAATCTTTTTGTAACTGACACAGCTTAAGATTTACATTCACGTGTAGTTCTACTAGTTTATTATCTGGTAGAACTAAAGAAAACCTGTATTTCTAGCAATAGAGGCTGAGATATGAGCATCTCAGAAACAGGGCAGAGCAGATAAATCTGAGGATTCTTATCCTCATTTAGATAGTGTGGCTCCAGTGGAAGGATGACAGCCAGAGCACGAGTCCCTGAGTTCAAGACCCATTACCAGCACATACAAAAATCAAGTTTACAAGAGTCTTTTAGCCAAGTGATAGATTTTTTTTTTTTTTTTGGTCCGTTGTGGGCCTGAACTCTGGGCCTGGTGCTGTCCCTCAGCTCTTCAGCTCAAGGTTAGCGCTCTACCACTTGAGCCACAGCACCACTTCCGGCTTTTTCTGCTTATGTGGTGCTGAGAAATCGAACCCAGGGCCTCAAGGATGCAAGGCAAGTGCTCTACCACTGAGCCACCTTCCCAGCCCAAGAGTTTTTTCTTCTGTGCGCTTTTCAGGATATCTACCGCGACCACGTTTTGACAAGCAGGACAAACACCTCACAATGACGAACTCTGTAAAACCAATGCAAGTCACCCCACCATCGCCGCCACAGAACAAGGACGCGGCTGGAAGAGCATCCTGATCTCTGGGCGGGGGACTCGAGGACCACAGCCGCCCCATGGGCTCAGCCAGATCGCTCAACATTCGACCTGGACATGGGTCAATAAAATACATACTTTGCTTTCTTTCTTTGTTAAAGCTAGACACTGGTGGCTCACGCCTGTAATCCAAGCTACTCAGGAGGCTGAAATCTGCGGTTCAATGCCAGCCCGGGCAGGAAAGTCCGTGAAACTCTTAGCTTCAATGAAGAAGCCTCAAGTGGAGCTGTGGCTCAAGTGGTAGGGCGCTAACCTTCTGCAAGCGAGCTCAGGGCCAGAGCCCAAGCCCTGAGTACAAGCCCCAGGACCGGCACCATTAGTTTCGAAGACACTGGAATCAGAGTCTAATGTTAGATGGGAAATTAACGCTGTGTTCCAGACACCCTACCTCCCGCGTGGAGGAGACACGGCAGGCTCATCTTCCAAGTTGCATTACTCCAGTCCCACCGCTCAACCTCCCGCCACTTCCTGTTCCTGAGTACTTTGCCCAAAAGCGCCCGGGCCGGAGCTCTTCTTAAAAGGTTCCGGCTGAGGCGGAGTTCCGGGGTGGGTCCCATTGGGCAGTGAGAAGTCAGCGGCTTCCGGTTGGATGCTAACGCCGGAGCTGGGCGGGACTTCCTGGAAGGACCCTGCCTACCTTGTTCTAGGCGGATAGACTGAACCGAGTACACGAATAATCAGGTCGCCGGGTACAGTGAGATAACTGCGAGGCGTGAGCAGCCCAGCGAGGAAAAAACAAAACAAAACGACAAACCGAACAGGTATAAACCGGTACCTGTGGTTCAGACCGGCAATCCTAGCTACTCCCGAGGCTGACATCGGAGGATAGAGGTTCAAAGCCAACCCCCGTGGGAAAGCCGATGAGACTTCTAACTCGAATTAACTAATGAAAAAGCAGGAAATGGAGCTATGTCTCAAGTGGCAGGGCGCTAAACTTGAGGGAAAGTGCCAGGCCCTGAGTTCAAGCCCTAGGACCAGCACACACACACACACACACACACACACACACACACACACACACGTACGTATAACAGAAGGGCGGAGTAGGCTTTTGGAAGGATAGAGGGAAATGAATCTGGTGCCAAATCTGTTTGGTCCTTGAATGCAGACTGGAGTAGTTAAGTAGTTTCAGCATATTTCTTAATTTTGAGCTGCAAAATTAAAACTGAAGGTGTGTTTCTCGAAAAAAAAATTTTTTTATAAGTCCATTAGTAGTCAACCAACCTGAAGCTGGATTGGAGATGAAGAGCCTGGGCGCAAGGAGAACATCTGGGAAGGCTTTCTATCTTTCTAAAGGAGAGGGGAACTGTGATGAATTGAACCTGGAAACTGGAAAGAAAAGGATTGTTTGTGGAAGACATGAAGACCTCAGCCGGTTTTTTATGAAAAACAAAGAAGTCAGTAGGAAAGGAAGGTGAAGAGTTTGTAAACCAGCCATGGATTGTCTCCATGAAGGCTGTGTGGGAAATCATAAACTATTAATATGAATCCTTGGTAGGAGAGCTAGGCATGGTGATATACAACACTTAGGAAGCTGAAGCCAGATTGCAAGTTTGAGGCTAGCCTGGGCTAACTAGCAGAACTGGGTCTCAAAAAGAATAAGGTACAATAGTAATATTTTATAGGAATTCTAGGATCTCTGCCGTTTCTGCACGATTTAAAAAAAAAAAAGTAAACTTTTGCCGGCGGCAGTGGCTCACGCCTGTAATCCTAGCTATTCAGGAAGCTAAGATCTGAGGATCGTGGTTCAAAGCCAGCCATGGCAGGAAAGCCCTGTGATAAATAAACCACCAGAAAACCTGAAGTGGCACTGTGGCTCAAGTGGTAGAGCACTCACCTTGAGCTGAAGAGCTGAGGGAAAGCACCCAGGCCCAGAGTTCAAGCCCCACAACTAACAAAAAAAATTTTTTTAAATAAAAATAAAGTCAACTTCTTGTGTAAAATCTTTCGAATCAGAAATTCTCTTCCATCCCAGAGCTTATTCAATTTACTGAGGTATTATGGTTTAGTTGTATAAATGGTGATTGATTTACTTAGGAGGCTGAAACTGGGAGGACTGTGGTTTAAAGGCCAACCTGGCCAGAAAAATACACAAGATCCCTCCTCTGTGATTGTGAGCCTGTCATCCTAGCCACAATGGGAAGCCATAAAATAGATCAATAACAGCCTAGGTGCTGGCCAGGAAAAGAACTGATAAACTATCTGGAAGATAGCTAGCACAAAAAGGGCTGGAGGTGTGGCTCAGCGGCAAAACAACTGAAAGGGAAGTAGGAAGCCCTGAGTTCCAACCACAATGCAGGAGGTGGGGGGAGAGCAGAGAAAAAAGACATGTTGAATTCCTAACTCTAAATACTTCAGAGTATGACCTCACATTGGAAATGAGGTCCTGGTGATGCTTTAATAGATGACTGGGTTCACTGTGAGGCCATAACGTGGCACTTAGGAACTGAGCCAGCGTAGGTAGCTTAGGTACTGTCTGCTTCTCTGAGCCTTACATCCCTTACTTGTCAAATGAAGATATCGGTTCCTTTCTCACTTGACCATTTCGAGGATTATTGAGAAACTGAATGTAGAGAACTCACATATAATGAAGGATCAATAAATACTAGTTTCTCCATGAAAACATCACCACTTTTTCAGTATTATCAATGGCCTTGAGACCTTCATCCCTCAAAGCATTCATTCAGAAATATTCTTTGACCAGAACTTGGAGACAGTAGTAGAGAAAGAAACAATCAGTGTTTATGATTCACCATAAGCCAGAATCACTGATTTCATTCAAAATTCAGAATCATGACTTTTATTCAAAATGAAAGTCGTTGTTTTCCTCCAGAATTTGGCTCCTTTTCACTTCTGTTTTTCTTGCCTAGATACAGATGTCCCTAGCTCAGATTAACTAACTTGGATTAATTTTGTGCATTTGAGCATCACAAATGTTCCATAACTTCATGACCTTGAGGTAGGTAAACATTTCTTACACAAGCCAGAAATAGCATAGAACTTAATGATAAATAAATTGAATATTCATTAACAGGCACCATTAAGTGGGTGAAAAGGCAGCCAACAGTGAAAGATGATGTCTACAATGCTATAACAAGGAACTTGTATCCAGAATAAATTATCATTTTCTTTTTCTTTTTTCTTTTTTGGTGGTGGTAGAGGTGTTGTGGTCCTGGGTCTTGAACTAAGGGCCTAAGTGCTGTCCCTGAACTGTTTTTTTTTTTTTTTGTCATGGGTCTTGAACTTGGAGCCTAGGCACTATCCCTGAGCTCTTTTTGCTTAAGATAATGTTCTACCACTTTGAGCCGCAGTGCCACTTCTGTTTTTTCTGGTGGTTAATTGGAGATAAGAGTCTCAGGGACTTTCCTACCCAGGCTGGCTTTGAACTGGAATCCTCAGATCTCAGCCACCCGGGCTGGGAATGTGGCTTAGTGGTAGAGTGCTTGCCTAGCATGCATGAAAACCTGAGTTCAATTTTTCAGCATCACATAAACAGATCTAAGCCTCCTAAGTAGCTAAGATTATAGGCCCAAACCACTGATGCCCAGGTAGCATGCCGCTCTAACACTGTACTGTGTATTTGTATATTTTCATTTTCTACCTCCCCATATGGTAGGTAAGCTCCACAAAGGCAGCTATATCCCAGCACACACAGAAATGCAGGGCACATAGTAAGTGCTTCCTAAAGATTTAAGAATAGGTGAGCAAATTTTTTTTTTTTTTTTGTCGGTCGTGGGGCTTGAACTCCGGGCCTGGGCGCTGTCCCTCAGCTCTTCAGCTCAAGGCGAGCACTCTACCGTTTGAGCTACAGCACCACTTCCGGTTTTCTGGTGGTTTATTGGAGATAGGAGTCTCATGGTCTTTCCTGCCCGGGCTGGCTTTGAACCTCGATCCTCAGATCTCAGCCT